CCCAGGTCCTCCTCCTCCTCCTCCTCCTCCTCCTCCTCCCCATCCCCCTCCTGCTCCTCCTCCTCCTCCTCCTCCTCCTGCTCCTCCTCCTCCTCCTGCTGCTGCTGCTGCTGCTGCTCCTCCTCCTCCTCCTCCTCCTCCTCCTCCTCCTCCGGTTCCTCCTTCTCGTCGGGACCCCTCAAGCAGAATGACCGCGCCGAAGAAGCAGACGCGTCTCTCTCCAAAGTCCCGTGATCCTCGCGATGTCACGGGCATGGCGCTTGGCCCTCCTGGAGTCACTCACCATCAGTCGCGTATACTCAGACTGAGTGCCGCCCAGACTTAACTCATGCCCGACTTCTGGTACCCATATTCGAACTTGTGCACGCTCAGCCAGACGCTCGGGAAGGAACAGATTAGAACATTTATGCACATATTCGAGTCTCCACGTCGAGTCGATTTGGCTTCTCTGGGCCCGTGACAATACCGAAACTGCCTCGCAGAACACAGCTTCCCTCACTGTTCTAATAGAAAACGTTACTCAATATGTCCTCGCCTGTCTGGCCCCGGTCGCACTGCGAGAGACCAAAGCCTGAATGCTTGGAGTCCCTCGGGCGAGCTCAAGGAACAGCGGCTCGTTCGTTCACCGACCAAAAACATACCATGACATAAACCAGGAAGATTCCTCCTGAGAACGCTTAGGAAAATGATAGGGGGGAAGGGCTCCTCTGGATGCGCAGCACTCTGCTGATCCTCGCTGTGGCCGCAGACACGTTCCAGGCAGCTGGTCTTGTGTGGACGTGACTGCGGTGAGACAGCTGTGCAGTGGAGGCCGGTCCACAAGAAACCTGCCACAAGAAATCCAACCCTGAGACCCCAGGACGTCCATCGATTTTTGGTGTGACGCCTTCCATAGCAAAACCATCAAAACCCAGGGCACCCTGGAGGCAAGCAGAGTGTTGCTTGGCATAGGCCCCCACTGTACGAAGGAGTTGGCATAAGCATAGAAGAAGCAGCGGTGTCACTGCTGCGGGCAGCAGCGGCGCATAGGGGGCAGCAGCCCCCGGATGTCCGCCTGGACAGGCGCCGCCACCGACGCCCTCCCTGGAAGGGCTCACAGCGTGACGGTGCGTAGGTAGCACGGCCGGACGCGCCCCCAACGCGTAGGACCCTGGAAGGGCAGGGGCCCTCCCTAGGGGAACGAAAAATGACATAAACATAAAAGCTCGGAGGTCCGCGCGGATTTCTCGCATCGGCGCTGGGCCCTCTGGCAGCGCCTCCGGCGCCGCCCCTGGCGCGCTCCGCGCGCCAGGGAGGGGGTTCCAGCGCTGAATGCGAGAAATCCGCGCGGACCTCCAAGCTTTTATGCTCATGCCGTTCTTCGCCCCCCTGCCCCAGGAAACCGGCGGGGGCGATGCATGGCCCTCGTGCTGCCCAGAGAGGAGCGACGAGTGGAGAGAAGGAGGCGGCGGGCTTTCTTGTCGGCCCACGGCGAGCCTCGACCACGAAAGAGGCTCCCCGACCCAGAGCGGAGGAGATCGGGGACGGGCAGAACCCCCCTTCAGGAGGGGGAGGAGGAGGAGGGGGAGGAGGAGGAGGAGGAGGAGGAGGAGGAGGAGGAGGTGGAGGATTTTTTTTTTGGGGTCGACCCATGATCAGCCACATGACTCCGCTGGCGTGGCGAGTGCCAGCGAGAAAAAAAGACAGGAGCGCAGCGGTGAAGGCACATCACTGCGCAGCAGCACGGCTCGGGCTGTCCACTATACAAGGACAGCAGACTGGGCGGCGAGGAAGAGCTATACAACCTGCAGCCGCCACCCGAGCAGGGTGCAACACGGGAGCCCTCCGAAGGGGCCGTGATGCAGAGACCCAGCAAGCAACTACAGAGCAGAGTAGGCGTCGGCGCCACACTCTACGGCAGCTGCAAACGGATCCAGGAGCAGCAGTCAGGAGGACCGATCGATCCACCCCGCACTCCAGGAAAGACACGGACCCACTGTACAGGGTCAGTCACAGGAAACAAAGTACAGGCAACAAGCGAGCCGCGGCAGCTGCTTGCAGCAAGCTAATTGGCAGGGAAGATTTAACGTGTTACAGTCAGCCCGTGGCCGACTAGCCATGCCAGCCGTGCTGGCGAAAGTCCTGACCAAATTTTTCAACAAGCATCCAGCGCAACATGGGGAGGAGGACAGCGAGGACAGTGCCGAGAGCGTGCAGGTGAATCACGAACACGCCTCGAAAAAGGAACGAGAGAGGGCCCTCATCCAACAAGGGGCGCTCTCCGCGCCGTGCGCGGGGCAGGGGAGCAACGGTGCGAGGGTCACTAACGGCGCAACGCCGGGCAGTCCCCACTCGCACCGCGCCCCCCGCCCGCACCCGCCCACTATTCAGGTGCCTCGGGCTCGGGCGCCTGCTGAGCATCGCAGGCACCCCGAGCACCGAGAAAACAAGCGGCTCGAGGGGCCCGCCCGCCTTGGGATGCAGGCCCCTACGAGCCAGCTTGAGCACCGACGCGATGGAGGCCAAGACAGCCCGCTGCACTTAAGGGGCCCTTAAGTGCAGCGGATCTGCTCCTTCCGTGCGCACGCCGCCGCAAGCGTCCTCGCAAACGAAGTGCCAAAGACTGCCCGCTGTGCCGCCGTCACCACAAGGAGCCTTCACCCCGTGGCCGCGCAGCAGCGAGCAAGGGACGTGCAACAGCAGTGGCATGAAAGTGAACCACATCACACACCCTGAGCAGAGGCACAATGATATCAACGCCTCGACTGCATGGCTTGGCGCTCCGTGTTTTGCCGCCGCGCCTCTCGTCCGGGGTCCTCTGCTTCGGGGGTGGCCAAGAGGGGGGCGTCCAAGAGGGGGGGGGCGCAAATCATGGCCGGCGGCACGTGCGCGGCCCAGGGGAGGGAGGGGGTGGCACGGACGCATTGAACTAAGACGAGGCGCCATGAACCCTGGGGAGATATCATAGCCCCCGCCATGATATCCCCCCCCTAGTCATCACCCCCCTCTTGGCCGCCCCCGACTGATGCGGGAACGCCTCCAGCGTTCTCGGACCACTCGGTGGCGCGGACGCGCTGTGAAAGCTGGACGAGTACTGGCCATCGCGCTCCTCGATGGAGCCGAAGCTATCAAACGCTGAGGCCGCAGTACTACGATCGAGGAGACGCAACGCTCGAGATAGAGGGACTCGAAATTGCATGGCGGGACCATGCAAGGGAGCTCCCGCTGCAGACATCTCACGAAAACTGGACCGTCAAAACCCACACCGGGACCGCCACAGCGGCGGACCCGAGATCCGGCAAACTCGAGTCTTATCCCCGAGAGGAACTACGAGGCTGGATTCCCGTCATTCTGCCAGAATGCAGGAGGTACTGAGAACAAAACTAAGCGCTCAAGCGCCAAGCACCTACCATCGGCAGCAGGCCATCGGCACACTCCCGCTCTATTGAAACCGATCGAGGAAGGTCGACTACCCAGCTTCAGCGACTGGCATGCCCGGGGCCTCTGCGGAGCCCGCCAGATGCGCTTACTGCTGTTGTCTTCGTGCGGCCCTGAAAGGGAACGACGAGGAGGAACGAGGGGGCGCAGGGGGCGGGAACTGGCGAGGCCCCCGCGCTGCCACAGGGCCCCCGTCTGGGAACTGGCGAGGCCCCCGCGCTGCCACAGGGCCCCCGTCGCAAGGATCGTGGCTCGGGTGGGTGCCCAAGCGGTGCTCCGCAGACCACCGATCCCCCCCCCCCCAACGAGAGACACGGATGGTAGGCCTCGCTGCCAGACGGCAGGCCTTTCTCGACGGTTGCCCGCGCCGCCGACACCATGGCCGACCCAAGCTTCGAGGGCGGAGTCGGGCGGGAGGCAGAATCGCACCTGGCTAAGATCGTGTTCCCGGGATGGCAGTGGTGCGGAATGGGGCTGCTGCGGCTGCCACACGCCGTGCACGCTCGGAACGTGCCCCGAGAGCGGCCCGCATCGGACCACACCCCCCTCACATGAGGAACCGCCTCGCCTTCCCGCAGCCGCAGCCGACCCCGAGGAGCGGGGAGAGCGGCACACTGCCGGAGCGCAGAGCCACCCCGCGCAGGGCAGCCCGGGGGCTCAGCGCTCGTCGCGCGCTGTGCCCCGCCCCTGCCGCCGGCGCCGGCTCGGGCACGTGCCGGCTCACGTCCCCGAGCCCCCTTGCGGGGTCGAGGGCCCGGCATTCCCCCTCCCCGCCGGGGCCCCGGCGCCCTCGCCCTCGCTCGGACGGCCGCTCCCCGGTGCTTCGGCCCCGTGCGCGGCTGTCTGCTGCTCGCTGGTCGGGGAGGCTCCTCGCCGAGGGAAGCGAGCGGGCGCCCGAGCGACGCCGAGCCCCCGTGCGCCGATCCAAGGAGCGGCCGCGGGCCATCGGGTGGCTGAGCGATCGGCTGCCCCGCGGCCTCGGCAGGCGGCCCGAAGCGCAAGGGACCGAACAGGGCGGGGCTGTTCAGTACACGCCCAGGGCCGTGTAGTGGACGCCAAGTCGCGGGGTCGGGGTGGTCTTTCCTCCCTTGACTTCGGGGCCCCCATGGCCCCCCCCCGCCCCCACCACCGTTACCACACCCTGGATCGGCGCGCCTGGTCTGGGGGTGGGTGCATGGGGGTGGGGCTGAACCCGGAGATCCGACGTCGTGACTCTTACCAAACAGGGGAGGCCAGTCCACAAGAAACCCAACCCTGAGACCCCCAGGACGTCCATAGGTTTTCTGGGGTGGGACGTCACGCCTTCCATCGCAAAACCATAGAGACCCAAGAAACCCAGGGCACCCTGGAGGCATGCAGGGTGTTTCTTGGCATGGGCCCCCACTGTATCGTTGACCCCTGGATGTCTTGACCTGTTCGCCTGCCCCTCCCGAGCCAATGTTAACTGCGGCCCCGGGGCCTGGCCAGGCCAAGCCCCCCCCGCCGAGGCCGAAAATTGCCGGGAAACCTCCCGTCGCGACTTTCTTGCGACGCGAAGCGGCGGGGGTGATGAGGAGGAGGAGGAGGAGGAGGAGGAGGAGGAGGAGGAGGGGCACGAGGGGTTCTCACAGCCTGCAGGGCCGACGCCGGGGCGTGCGCGCGCCACGCCGGGCGCGCCGCCGGCAGCGCGGAGGCACGGGAGGCCGGCCCCCGGGCCCCCCCAGGGATCGACCCGAACAGCGCTTTTTTCGTCCTCGTTTTGCTCCCGCTGTCCCTCGCTCGGTCTGCACGCCGCCTTCGCCGCAGAGCGGACTCGAAGCGACAGCTGCCCGCGGCATCGCAGGACGGATGCCGTTGTTCGGGTCGCCCCCTGGGGCTTCTCCAGGCTCAGAGGCCGCCGCCTCTGCCGCTCGGCAGGCGTCGCCCGCGGCTGCGGTGGATCTTGCGCTGCTCTCGGATCGGGTGCTGCTGGAAGCGGCTCTGGCCCCAGGGTGTCCCCAGCCTGCCGCGCCATTGGGGAGCCCGAGCGGCCGCCTGGGCCTCGTTCGTGAGGGGTGCTCTGGAGGCCCTCTGGGCCTCCCCGGGGAATCCTGGGGACAGCTTGGGCGAGGGACGCCTGCAGCAGCACCCGATCAGGCGGCCAAGGATATAGAGGCCTCCCAGATGGGGTCCGAGTAGATGGGGTCGGAGGATCGCGCCGCATCGCCGATGTATCGGCGACGTCGCCGACGCATCGGCGACGTCGGCGTGAAGAACATCGAGCTCCACATCGATCCGCATCGCCGATGCATCGGCGATGCGACGCGATCCTCCGATCCCATCCACTCCGACCCCATCTGGGAGGCCTCAAAAGGAGCTGCATGTGCGGGTCGGGACGGACGAGGAAGGACACAAGGCTAGAAGAAGAAAAAAACTGTACAAACATAAACTGTCGGTGCTCCGCGTGGATTTCTTCGATCTGCGCTGGAGCCCCGTCTCTGGCGCGCGGAGCGCGCCAGGAACGACGCCAGAGGCGCCGCCAAAGGGGGGCCGAACGCCGATCCAAGAAATCCGCGCGGAACAATTACGGGGAAACGTAAAAGGTACCGATCCGCTGTTCCCCGGACCTCTCCCGGGGTGCGCTGTGACTAGAACTTCGAGGCGAATCCACTGGTGGCGACGAGGGCCTTCCAAGAGGCCCAACGGAACAAGCGGCCATAACGGGCGTCAAGCCCGGGGGGGGGGGGGACGGGAGGGGGCATAACGAAACGCCCCCCCCCCCCCCCCCAGACTGTGGTGCCGGACGCACTGCGGCAGTGCCGGGGACGCACTGATGGGGGGGAGCGCTACGTTATGGAGCGGGGGGGAGGGGGGAGGGTAGGGGGCACAACGCCCGTGATGGCCCAGAGGGCAAACAAAAAACACTCTCGAAGCCGTATTCGGCACATGCTTCCTCCTCTGGGTGTCTGTTCTTCCTCGAGAGGCCTCACGCCCTCGACGGGCGGCTACGGCCGGGCCTTCTTGGAGGCGCGCAGCGCCTGCAGGCACACGCCCAGCTTGGAGATGGCGTCCCTGATGTTCTCGACCGTCGCCGCGTAGGACAGGCGCAGGCAGCTGGGGGCGCCGAAGGCGTCGCCAGGCACCAGCGCCACGCGATGCCAGAGGAGCGAGAAGCGGCGCAGACGGAAACTCTCGGAGCACCGCGGGGACTTCTCGGAGCGGCGCTGGATACCCACTCACTGCCGCGCCAGGAGCGGCGCCGGAGGCGCCGCCAGGGGGGGCCCAACGCGGATCGAAGAAATCCGCGCGGAGCTTCGGAAGTTTATGTCTATCTAGCTTCCGGTTCTTCGAGATACTCGGAGAGCAGGTGCAAGCAGAGTTTCGTGGAGCCGTCGATCTCCTCGCCGCTCTCCGTGCACCTGCCGAAGTAGGCGGACACGTCGGGGAACAAGTAGAAGGCGCCCTGAGGCTTCGGACATGTCACGTGCGGGATGCCCTCGAGCATGCCGTGAGCCAGGTCGCGCTTCTGCTGCAACTCCGCCACCTCTTTTGGAGAACGGGCCGACCTGCACTCAGTCGACCGGCGCTCTGTGGTAGGGGCCCATGAGCCCCACAAGCCACGCCGCGCGCAGAGCGCGCGTGGGGGACTCCAGGAGGGGCCGTGGGCGCGTGCCCCCCTGCCGAAGAGTGTCGGCCGACTGAGCGCAAGTCTGTCTGGTCCAGAACCTTGCCGGAGATGTAGCCGAGGTCGCTCTTGAGGGCCGCGATGCCTGCGTGCTGCGAGATGCTTGTGGCGCACGAGGTGATTTGCGACTGCAACTTCGACGCGGCCTGGACGATCGGCTTGGGGGCCGCGAGGTAGCCGAGCCGGTAGCCTGTCATTGAAAATGCCTTGAGGGGTGTTCCTGCCTGAACCACCACCACCACCACCACCACCACCACCACCACCACCACCACCACCACCACCACCACCACCACCCCACATGGTTCCAAGAACTTTAAGCCCATCCGCACATGATGGCAGTGGTGATTCAGACATCGCTATCCGGCCTTCGAGAATCCGTTGATAGTAAGCGTTCGCTCCCACATACCGTCAAGGGCAGCGAAAGAAACGTGCTTCAACCCATCGAACGTGATGCGCTCATAGATCTCGTCGGACAGCACATAAACGTGCTGGTTCTCAGGCCGCCGCAGAACCTCCGCCACAGCCTCGCACTGCTCCCTGGACATCGCGCAGCCAGTCGGGTTAGAAGGGTTGCACACGATCAGCATGCGAGTCGAAGGCTTGATGGCGGCCGCCAGCGCTTCTGGTTCGATGGCGTAGCCCTGCTTGGCGGTGGTTGTCAAGATGACTGGCGAGGCGCCAGACAAGCGGACGATGTCTGGGTTTAGGCCGGGCATGTCCTCCTAAGGAACATCAAAATTTGCCAAAAATATGATTCAAAATAGTAGAAACATTGTCTCCTGGCTATTTGTTGCCAATGCTTGAATATTCCTCCTGTAGAGGCCTCCTAGATGGGATCCGAGTAGATGGGGTCGGAGGAACTCGTTGCATCGCCGATGCATCGGCAATGCATGGCCGATGTATCGGCCATGCTCTGGCGACGTCGGCGATGCATCGGTGACCTCGGCGTGGAGAAAGTTGGGCCCCGCATCGAGCCGCATCGCTGCTGCATCGCCGATGCATCGGCGATGCGGCGCGATCCTCCGACCCCGTCTACTCCGACCCCATCTAGGAGGCCTAGATCCTGTAGAGGGACATGACCGGCTTAAGTCTGGGTAGGAGGTCCAGTATGGCGCGGGCACGACCACCTCGTCGCCGGCCTGGCACAGAGCCACCACGACCTTTGAGCAGGGACCGACCGTTCGGGCATTCCTACAGGCCTACCACGACATGTGCTTAGAACCCACAAATGTTCCAAGAACAAAGACAGTGCTCTTAGAACGTAAGCCCGATGTGTTGAACCACGACAGTCTCAGCCAGAAATGGCCTGAGACCATCTCGTGCTGACCACGAAAGGCTCTTAGAACAGTCTTTGGTGGGCTCACAGGCGAGCCAGGAGCTCCGCCACTGCTCGGGGCCTGTCGGCCCCAGGACAGCCGACCCGCACTCGACCTGGGCTCTGGGGCCCCGGGCCCTCGGCTCGCCCAGCTGGAGCCCGCAGCTGGGCGAGCCAAGCTGGAGCCTCCAACTTGGAGAGGCGGAGGAGGCGGAGGAGGCGGCGGAGAAGGACGAGGAGGAGGACGAGGAGGAGGCGGAGGAGGAGGCGGAGGAGGAGGAGAAGTAGCAGGAGGAGGAGGAGGAGGAGGAGGAGGAGGAGGAGGACGACGAGGCGGAGGAGGAGGAGGAGAAGGAGGAGGCGGAGGAGGAGGAGGAGGAGGGCAGAACGACTGAGTGCAGGGCGGCCAAGGCCCAGGCCTGGTAGATGGCCTGCTTGCCGCCGCTCGCGATCAACACCTCGTCCGGCTTGTAGGTGAGGCCCTTCTCGGCCGAGAGGTACTCGCACACCGCGGAGCGCAGCTCGAGGGTGCCAGTCACGCCCGTGTAACTGGTGAGGCCCTGGCTGGCAGCGTCCGCCGTGGCCCGGATCGCCTCGGGCGGCGGCGGGAAGTCGGGCTGGCCGACGCAGAGGGCGCCGTTGACGACCTCGCCCCGGCTCTTCATGTCCGACACCTTTTCCCGCGAAGGAGCCGGGTGCGGGTGCCAAGAATACAGCCTTCCACAACCTTCAATCCCCCTCCCCTCCTCCAGCCTTTTCTTCCTCTCCTCTTCCCTGGGAGAGGGAGGGGGTGAGGGAGGCAGTGGTGGTGTATTTTCTTGGGCCCCGTAACAGGTCCTGAGGGAAACGGGTCCTGGACTCTGGGGGCTTCCCCCCCAGAACCAAACTTTCACCTTGAGTTGGTTTTCGGAACAGTCCTGGGGGGCGTGGAGGGCCCCGAGAACCCGAAAACTGCAAAACGCGTCAGGGACCGTTTCCCTCAGGACCCGTTCCTTCCATGGCGAACCTTGCTGAAGATGGCCACCGTGGTGGACTCCTGCACGTCCAGAAGCAGGAAGAGCGGCCAGCACACAAACTTTCGGAGGCCCGCGCGGGATTCTTGGGTCGGCGCTGGACCCCACCCTCCCTGGCGCGCGGAGAGAGCCACGGGCGGCGCCGAGAGCGCCGCCAGGAGGGCTCGACGCCGATCCTGGGGAACTACGCGGTACCGATACCGTCACTCTCTGAACCTCCCCAAGGGGGCGTTCTGAGCAGAATTTCCGGGCGAATCCAACCGTGGCGACGAGGGCCGCCTCGGGTGCCCAGACAGGAAGGGCAACGGCATCGGTAGCTTCTCCTCCGACCAGCGGCGCCGGACCTCAGAGAGCTCAGGTCTGTGCCGTGCTTTCTCCTTCCGATGTCGCTCACGAGCGGGTTGAGGCGGAGCACGGGTCCCGGCATCTCGCTCGCTTACCCATTCGCCTGCTAATTGAGGTCTGACTTCTAGGGGTCAGAATCAGCGAAGGGAAAACTAAACAAACCAGATCTTCCGAGAACAAGATAGCGGTTCGGCCAAGAATTCCCACAGAAACTACCAGGAAAAAAAAACAAGACACAGCTTTGGAGAAAGACACTGCCCCGAACAAGGAACATTCAAGGAATTGAGCCCACCTTTCCTGATCTCCACGCTCGAAGAACAAAAAACGGCATAAACGTAAACGTTCGGCGCTCCGCGCGGATTTCTTGGATCTGCACTGGGCCCCCTCCTTGGCGCGCGGAGTGCGCCAAGGGCGGCGCCTCAGGTGCTGCCAGGGGGAGCCATTCGACAAAATGCTGACCCCATTATCGGGGAGACGTGAGATTGGGGTTTGGTAGACTTGGGTTGGCCTGACGGGGCCATCCTGCAAATGACGAGACCCAGTCTGAAATCTGACGCGAGCTCCCGCTGCAAACACATCCCACGAAAACTGGACCGTCAGAATCCAAGACGCGCTCGTCAGAAAGCGTCGGCAAACCCGAGCTCCGCCGTACTCGAGCCTCACGCGCCCCCGACTAGACGAGCGCGCTCCACTGCTCGCAGAGTGAAACCTCGCAAAAAGCCTGGATCGGCCGCGGGAGATCCCGCGACAAAGTCCACCGAAGCAGACGTGTGTCGTTCGGACGTCTGCCAGCGGGCACTTTGCGAGTAGCGGAACGCGCTCGGTGACCGACATTAGCAGGCGAAGGAACCGACCGCGGCCGGCGCGCGGGGGGCGCCGAGGTGGTCAGTGGGGCGCGGCCGCCGTGGGCACGGCGCCGCCGGCGGCGGCGGGGGGCTCCAGTGAGTGGAGCCCGCGCGAAGACGTGGCCACCCTGACGCACCCCCCCCCCCTCGCCCGCTCCCCGGTTGGCGGCGCGCACGCGGGGCCAGGAGGAGGAGGAGGAGGAGGAGGAGGAGGGGGAGGAGGAGGAGGAGGAGGAGGAGGAGGAGGAGGAGGAGGGGGAGGGAGGAGGAGAGGAGGAGGAGGAGGAGGAGGAGGAGGAGGAGGAGGAGGAGGAGTCGCAAACCGCGAGCCGCGAGCAACTTCGCGCCTCGCCTGTCTCCTCGCGACCCAAAAGGGGGTCCAGAAGGGGGGTGGCGCAACAGATTTGGGGCAATCGTATCGCAAACGGATTGCGCCAGACACTTGTATCGCAGCGTATTGCAACTAACGCGCTCCGCGCGAAAATCCAGCAGTACATCTGCGCACTGGAGTGTACTGTGCACCACAAACCTGTTGCATTACGCAAGATCTGCGACCCCGAGGCCACAGGCCCTCGTAAGCGACTCAGCAGTTGCGTCCCCGAGGCCGCAAACCCTCGTGGATTGCGCCATGTTGGTGTCCCCGAAGCCATAACCCATCGCAACCTACAGAGCATTCGTGCCGCCGAAGCCACAAGCCCTCGTAAATTGAACATTGGCCCTCGTGTGAAGTCCCGACGCTGCTTCACGTCAGCGTCCAGACATCCCAACACAGCTCTGGCAGGTCCCACTCTCAGAGAGGGGGGCCGGCGGCATGGGGGCGAAGCCCTCACGGACGAACGACATCCTCCCCCGATCGAGTCCATCTCTGTGCTTCCCTTCCCTTCGGGCGCCGCCACCCACCTGCCCTCCCCTGCGCCTGCCCGCGCCAAGTCACGCGAGGCCCGGGCCCGACCCCGCCCAACAGAGCCGGGGGCGGGAGACCGCCGCGGAGACCCGGTCCCGAGCGAGCGAAGGGAACCGACTGGCCGCAACGATCGGCGGCAATCTTGCGCCGGATCCTCGCAATGCCGGCAGTGGAAGAGCCAGAACCAGGGACCCGGGAGGCCAGGCCGCCCGCGCGTCCTGCGCGCGCCCGCATCTCCCCCCTCAGATGAACCCATCGCGACCCCAATTGGGGGTCGTCTTTCTTCCAAAGCAGGTCAAAGCAGTTCAGAGCATTATGTTGTTTTGATTTGCAATGCTCGGCAATTGCATTGCTTGGCGTTGTTTGGCGCTGCTTGGCATTGCTTGACATGGCTTGGCATTGCTTGGCAGTGTTTGGCGTTGCTTGACAATGCTTGGCATTGCTTGGCATTGCCAAGCAACGCAAGACGAAAGAACCTGAACAACACCGCAAGGAACCCAAGGAACCAAGACCATGGACTCCGAGCAACACCTAAACGAAACCAAGATCAAGAAACCGAGCAACGCTGGGGGGCGCCTATCAATCTGCCCTAGCGGACCCACCTGTTCTCCACAAAGAAATGCACCCCCCCAGGGCAAGCATCAGATGGGAAAAAAACAATATTTCAGTACCGATGCCCCTCCCTCGTTTCTGCTTTTTGTGTCTCCTCAGGGGCCTTCGTCGCCATGGATG